ACTAGCCCCGCCCTACCCTACATCAAATCAATTTAAAATTTTTTGAAATCGATCGGACAAAAGATTGAAAAATTGGCTCACATACACACACATACTTTCTACTAATTCCGTCTCAATCTCTTTGGAATGACTTAAAACGCCGAGAAAACATATTTCGGGAAGTTAATAATGATTAATAATTGTGTTATTTTCTTTCTCTTACCTGGGCTGGGAGGTTCGCTATCGTGTTCCGAACTTTGGTACTCTGTACGTTGAGTTTCACTGTGTGTCGGGTATTTCAAATTCGGCGATACGTTGACTGAGTCCCTCACTGGCGATACGTTTCCTGCAGTAGGGGGCACCGACGGCACGGTCGTCGTCTGGGGCCCTGTGAGCGATTGCGACCCTGTCGTACCAGTTCCGCCGGCTGTGTACAACAGACCAAGCTCGCGCGCTTCGCTTTCTTCTTGAGCTTGCTGCCGGCGCAGAGCAACCTGTAATTGAATCAAAAATTATATTTAGTTTTACACTATTACAGTTGATTACATGGAGACGGGAACAGGTAAATCTATAATAAAGCTACGTAATTAGTAAGGGCTCGATTCCGCCGTAAAATAGACCAATGCTACGAAGGGGCTGTTACGTACGTATAGCTTCTCATACAAGATAGTACTGAATACTGTCATAATGTCATGTGGTTGCTGTGCAGTCAAGCGTTAAAAAAAACAATCGTATCATAACTGCATCTTTGTAATATGGCTTAGTAACACATGAGTGAAGTAGCATTTTGACGGTATTTTTACCATTTTCTATAAGAAGCGCTACGTAACATAGTCTTGCTACAACGTTAGTCTAATTTAGGGCAGAATAGCCCAATAAATTATCTCAACAGTTTAAGTAAATCCTTAAGTTCTGATCGCTGTTCAAATAAGTGATAAAAACGAGTAACTTTTAAATTTATACTCCATTATTAATTTGTTTTACATAAATTGCAATAAATTAGATTGTATTAATAAACTAGTGGTGCATGACATCGGACGCTTAGTTCTCTCAAAAACTACCATTTTTTGCACATTTAGCTCTGTATCTTCGAAATGGCTGAACCTGCCTCTGCTAAAAACTAATCACCTCTTCTCCCAATCATTACAAATTGAATGCTTTTAGATCATTCAAATCGGATACTCCTTTCTCTCAAAAATTCGATTTGTATTTTCTGGCTGGACTGCCTTTGCCAAAAACTAATCAGCACATCTCCCTAACAATAGGAATCGAATGTTTTTTAAACCATTCAAATCGGTTGATCCGTGCGCCCGAAAACGTGGACGAAAATGCGGAGATACAAAACACACACACACATATCCATTTTTTCTGAGGTATGCCAAAATGTTCAGAAACCTTCAAAACGATGAGAAATGCAAAAAAAAAAATATTTTTGATTTTCGGACCATTACTATAACTACCCTACGGAAAGTTTATTATTACATTATTTTACATTAAATATATTTGTTATATTTGTTGCAGTATTGAATTACATTCATTATTTTTCCTCACATTAATGCTATTGCCTTGTCAATTTTGATCATTTTCAATTTTTTTTCCGATTCTTATTGTTAAAAGTTATTCCTTTAGGAATTCTCAAAATGTTGTCAATAAACTAATAGAATTCAATATAAACGATGAGTTATAATAAAAATAGCATATCTTATAAGTATTATAAGCAATTATATTCATTTTTTTGTTTAGTAGTTTACATTCATATAAAGAAATATAAGACGATGAAAGAAATGTTACATTATATTGAAAATGAGAGAAATTTATTATATATTTATTATTAAAAATGACGTGAAATGTTACATTTATATTATATAGTATCGATACAGCAATTAGCGAAAAATGTACATTTAAAGATAATTTTATTCAGCAGATCAAGCTTTTACATTATCATGAATTTCGAAAGTTTTCGTGAATTTTAAATAACCTAAAGTAAATTAATTGTGCAAGTATAAATGTTATGAAATGTGCTGAAAATAATAGAAATTCATATATTCAATTAAACTATTAAATTAGTTAGTACTTAGATTGATACTAACTTATATAAGTACTAAAGGCATAGTTTTGAATGCTCAATTGTAATATAAAATTGAGTCATTGCAATATTACAATATAAATAATGTGAAGTAATATAATTATACACTTATACAGATAAATATGTCATAAGAATTGAATAAAGTAGAGATTATTAAACTAAATTTAAACTATCAGATATATTATAGTTATTATAAATGCACTTATGTAACATAAAATTAAATCAGTGCAATGATTATAAAAACATTATTTATATTAAAAGACTATTTAATTCGAAAATATTATAAAACAGTTTCATATCAACAAACAATTGGATAAATATTGAAATTAAATACCATATCAGAAAAAAACTTTTTTACTTATATTTTAAAAGAAATCATTACGTCCTATGAGCTGTTGGGCAGAAACTTCTTACGTTGATTTTTTTTAGTTGGTAACCCTATGGTTGATCTATTTATATTTGATTATTTTAATATTAGAATTTATCAAATGCGGTTGATATAATAATCAATCTAATGCAGCAGTACCCGGGAAGGTCTATTTTCACTTGGAGACATATATTTAAGATGTATATTTCCAAGTGATGATAGACTTTCTTTTTTAGAGAAAGAGTTTTTTTCTTTTAAATCATATGGTTTTATGAGCGCCATTTCCACTAGAATTAAAGTAATTCACATTCCATCTAGAATTCACTTCATTATAGACATCTTGATGGATTCTAGCAGATTCACTACTTTAGTACAAACTTTTCAGAAAACTAACGATTTTATAAAAAACTTTTTTTTCCATTTTTTTTTTAAATCGAAATTTATTTCATATATCTCAAAAAGAATAAAGTTACGTGTAAAAGCATATAGAAAAAATCAAAGGGATCTTCTGGCTTATTATTGTTTTTTATTATTTTTCTTTCCACAAAAATTGACAGAGTTATGAATGTTTAAAGACTGCGAGGCCCGCGCAAATTAGAAAAAAAAGGTTTTTATAAAATCGTGAGTTTTCTGATCTGCTAGAATCTATCAAGATATCTATAATGAAGTGAATTCTAGATGGAATGTGAATTACTTTAATGAATGAATGTGAATTAAACAAAAATTGTTAAGATTGTAAAACGACTTAAATAAATCCATTTCCAAAATTTGATCTATTTGTTATTACCTGTGCAGCCATGACCCGTTGCCTTTCGGCGATCAAGGTGCATTTAGCACAAACGCAATCCCTCCACCGGCAATATCTTTTGTGTCCTTTCAAAGCGCTCACGACTCCGTGATTTCGGCAGCGGGCGCATTTCGGCGTCCTCTGGTACCTCTCCGAAGCGCGCAAGAAGAACGCGGGTGGTAAACCGCCCAGAACCGCGTGCTGAGACATGAGGGCACTCACGTCCACGCCGCTCGGCAAGGACATGGTAAAAGAAATATTTGTACCGGGATAATTAGATAGTAAAATTAATTAATTGATATTGTTGGTTCAGATGTTTTTAGTTATTTGGATTTTTTGAGTGTGTTTTTATAGAAAATTTGGAAGGATTTATCATATTAGTTTACAGTACAAGTGTTCACTAAATTGGTAAAATTGTTTGTATGTTTTTTGAATAATTTTTGTTCTAAAATATTTCACTGAATTAATATAATAAACATCACTTGTATCAGTTATCTAATCATTGTCAATCGCACGGGTCACATATGTTTATGCCAATTCAAAATTGACAAAAAATATAATTAATATACTACGGATCTCCTTTCATATGCCATTTAATTTTTTTTTAATCTGATGTTCAATCTTTAAGCACATTGGTTGAGAAATTAATATCTTAACTTTTCATAGTTAAAAATAATTTGTAAATTAGTTTAATGAATTACGTTTAAGTATTTTAATTCACTACCATGAATAAGTTTCGTCAGTCTTTAACAATCACTTAGAAAATTATTAGAAATTTCTTTTATATTTGAACAATATCACTTGACAAAAAAACTGGTCACTTTTTTGGACACAAAAAACACGTCTAATTCGCTTAAAAACGTTTTGTAACCGAGCTTTCTGTTAACAATCTGTATAACTGTCGCGAGAGAGCAATGCTTGGCTGGGATCTTCTCGAAACTTTGTAATACACAATATCACATAGCGTTATCATGTCGCCATGGAGGGGGTCGCGCGTTTATTGTGCATATTGTACACATTGTACAATATCCATCCCTCCCCAGAATAAGTGATCGATACGGATCCTGGTGGGATAAATCCGGCTTCTCTCCGCCAATGGAGTGGCTGATCTCGGCGGTTAAAATGTGTATACAGTTGCGCCGTTCGTCGTCGCTTGCTCTTGGCGGTGTACCATTTTGTTACCGAAAATATCAACTCGCGCAAGCCTAACGGGGGCCACACCTAGACCCGTGCCTATTGGACGAGGGGCGTTTTCTGCGGAGTCACGGCTTCTGATGTGTTTTCTTTTGCTTTGCCGCTTCTGCACAGCGCTTTCCGGACGCCCGGAGTTCACACCGTGGAGGTGTCGCGGACTCGATGGGTTCACGACCGGCCCGGATGATACGTAGCGTTACGGTGGTATCCATTATACGTAAATATATCGAAATTGATTAAATCGGCGTGCAGTTTTGCATTAGCGGGGGAAATTATTACTAAACGCTATTATATCTATTGCGTTTTTATAAATTATACTATATCTGCCATTCCAATTAATAAGTGGTTAAATTAATTATCACAATCTCCACAAATTTTGGTTACAAAGTTTTATTACTTGGGTAATATCGCATGTTTGAATTAATCGTTTAAATTTTATATAAAGTTTGTTTCCAACCAATATTTTTTTCAGTTTATTAACTATTTTCAAAGAAATAGTTAATGCCGCGACTTGAGACGTTTTGGCCGAAATTTGACTCAATCACTTATTCACTGTAAGATAATGATATCGTAATGCATTATCACCGTTAAGAAACTGTAGTTATACATGTTTCATTATCTTCTTTTACTTCAACAAAAGCTTTATCTAGTAATATAGTATTGCACTTGGGAATAATTGAAGTAAAAGCACAAATGTTTTATATGTCGCCTTTAAAAATTTCTAAAGTTTTTCATAACACACACACACACATATATATATATATATATATATATATATATTATATATATTTACTAGCCGGCCCGACAAACTTCGTCCTGTCAAAAAAATTTGTAATGTGGCGGTGTTTTGTTCCTACCTTTTTTCTATTCTTTGCAAAAAATTATCCTGAACAAAACCGTCACTCTGGTAATAATTCGGTGTGAATTAAAAATAACTAAATGAAACACTATAAGCATTTCAAAGTAAGCAATCTTAATCATGTAAATCATAAATAAAAAATCAGTTTAATTTTCATTGTAGTGCTTTGTGATAAACGATGTTTTTTGTTTGATTACCTGGCGCATAGACAAACAAATCTGATGGTTTTCCAATACGGGAATAGACATCATACAATTTTCCATGTGAGAAACATGGGTTTTCCAAATTAATACCACAAACACTTAATGATACCATAAACGCACTGGAAACTGTAATTGTTTATCCTCAAATGGTACATCAGTCGGAATCATTGGAATGCACGGTGCGAGAACATCTTCTGCTTTATACTATCCTTTCAATATAGTTGCTTCCATCACGTTGTTTGGTAGTTTTTTAATCGCTAACCTTGTGCCGTTGCAAAGGCGCGGTTGGTCGATATTTCGCAACATTATAATTGCCGATCCAACCTTTAATTGAAGATTGTGATAATCCTAGCAAATCCAGCGAGTTTAAAAACTCCGGTGGATCGTCTTGGTTAGATGCCGAATCAACTGATTCGCCTGTAATTTGTTCTTGAGTTTTGAAATTCAATTCATTTACATCAATGTTTTTGGCTGCCAATATAGCTCGTTAATTAATAGAAAGCTATTTCTATGTTGATATAAATATATTAAAAATTAGATTATTAAAAACTACGCAAAATGTCATGACATAGATCATTGTTTTTTCTACAAATTTCGTTGCCTACTCGATTAAAAAAGAAAAGGGCTGTTTTTAGGGTTTTCCCGGCAATTATTCGATTTTTTCTCGCCGTAAGAACCATCCTTGGACATCATCGAACATTTTAAAAAAAGAATTGCCCAAATTGGTTCAGGCATTGTTGAGTTATGCGCTTACCAACACATTTTGCGATCCATTTTTATATATAAGATATAAGGTAGAGTGATCGCTATCAAGAGAAAAACTGCCATCTATCAATATTCATAACAACCGTACTTTTTCGTAGTTAGTTATTTTTTTGTTTCCGTGCTTTCTAATTTAGTTTATCATACCTGAATATAGTTTTCAAGTATACGTTATTTAATTGTTTTATGTAATGTAATTAATTTCTTATAAAATTTCTATAAAAACTTACGCGTGTAGTAACCTTCACACTGTGAAGGTATAAACAAGAAGAAAATAGTAAATAAAACTGTAAATTAAGTTGAAAAATGAAATTTTTCGAGAGATAAATTAAATAAATAGATATACCAACTGCGCTGACAAAAAATAGTAAAATATATATTTTTATATTTGAGTATTATCTAGGAATTTCACTGAACTGAACATTGTTTAATACGTTTTATGCGTTTTATTTTATATAGTATTTGTATAGACATATATAATCCATGTTTAATTCATCTGGGTGTTTGTAATTATTTATTTATTATTATTTATTATAAACAAGCAATAATAAATAATAATATTTAATTATTATTTATTATTTTATATTATTGTCCGGAATATCTCCAAAATGATTTTCATTAATAGAGTCTAAAACTTCCTAGAAAATATGAAATGTTTAAAATTTTAAAATTTTAAATGATTTAATTTTTAATTGTATTTATTAACAAAATGTGGCTTTGCAATAAATCTTCCGGTACTGTAAAGGTTAAATACAATAATCCCATTTTATTGAGATGTTAGGTTTTGAACAAGTTATACAAATCTTTATGCACACCATAACTTTATTTCTGTCCAAATTTTGTAGAACCGATTTAAAAATAATCGCAAACATGTTTATACAATTATTTGTAAAAAGTCGTCAATTTACGGTATATATCGAGGCAAATACTGCCAAGTTGCCTTGATTTGAACAAAAGGCGACCCTCAGAGCAAACGCACCCTTCGCAAATAAGATGTTATTTTGATATTATTGCATGGAATTAACAAAGCTCGAGGCTCGAGGCAAATTCCCACAAACCCTTTCCCACAGAATTATCTGAAAATGTAAAATGTCGCACAAAGAGAGAAATTGTATAGATTGACATCTAATTTTTTCTTTCGATTTTTTAATTAAATTATTTCTTGTACGCTAATAGTTAGATATTGTGAAAAGCTCTATGAGTGATTCTTTAAAAGGATATCCGGCACCGAAATTTTATATTTATTTTATTTATTGCTTTAAAATTAATATTTATCTTTCACACACACACACACTGTAAATAAATAAAAGCCTATTTTTTATTTATTTACAGTCGACGTTTCGAAAATAGGTATGTTTCATCTTAAGGACTTTAAGATGTCCTCGTGATCTCGATAAGATTTAAACAAACAATATATTTAAGAAAACTAGAAAATAAGAATGAATAAGATTGTGGAAGAGATAATATTACAAATAATATTACAATATAATCAAAATGAAAATAATAAAAATAAATGAGTAGATTATCCAGATGTCCTGAAGATGAAACGTACCTAGTTCCGAAACGTCGACAGTAAATAAA